TGGGCCAATGAAAATTCTTGAAATACTTTTTTTGAGGTGCTGATAACCGATCCGTTTTACCGCAACAGTTTACTTATAGATTATTGGAAAAATTTATGAGCACTTTCCATCCTCTTTGGAACGCTTTTTTTATGAGCAAAATCTCATAGAACAAGATCGTCTGAATAAAGTAAGCACTTGATTCCACTGAATGTCTACATCAGTTCCTCTATGTTATTGGCAAAAACGTCATAAAGAGATCATCTTGTGACGACTCCTTGTGATTGTCCTGTTTGTAAAAGATTAGATTTGTACAAATCGTATCCATATCTGAATTAACATTTTCTTTGTCTAATGAATGCTTTTATTCGATTTAGCATGTCATGCTTTATACCAATCTTTCTAAAAATTTGTTGCTATCTTCAATTATGTTTATTTTGTGTTGATGATAATTTATGGATTTTTAATTTAGCCATTTTAACTTTTCCTAGTGTAAATTCTCTTACTAATAAATGTTGGCTTGTTGGTTTATAATAAAATAAAGTGAATGTCAGAGTTAACAGTTAAATTAACTATAGGCTTAAATTCGTAGTTCCAAAACCAATTTACGGCTGAGCATGCTTTTCAATTGGAAGTAAAAAATGTAAACATGCAACATGACATTAAGGAGGCATTCTGGTCTATAGTCATAGTCGTAAAATAAATTAATATTTTTTATTCAATTGTTATACGAGCCACTCTATTCCGACCATCCAAATCAATCTTACTGAGTGCTTGATGCCTGTTTTTGTCAAAATTCTATTTCGGAGCTATTTTCTGTCTCACTAGTACCACTTCAGGTTTCAGTTTGGAAATGTAAATATTGTAGCTGTTTGTGTTGCATTTATCAAATGACATATTTATCATTTCGGAAAATACGTATCCTTTGTTAACCATTTGAATTAATAAACTTCCATTTTTTTGATTAGCTTTAACTTAATTTTGACAATTTGATGGCGTTTCGGACTCCACGATTCATAGTTCATGACTTTCTTCAACATGAAAAAAGAACTATTTCATTGGTCAAATTAAAGTAAAGATTTATTCAATGAAATTTTTTAGTGCCACCAAGCATTTGAACTTGCCTTTAATATCAGAGTATAATATGAGAAGTGTATAAAATAGGTAGCGCAAATTAATGCGAACTAACTGAGTAGCTGGGTAGCAAGTTCTTTTGTGCTTGGTTCATTTCACAGCATGTTCATTCGATTTCCATTAGATATTTAAAATAAATTATTTCGAATTCTTGTGTGAACTAATGAGAACAAAATATTCACTCACCCTTCAAATTATATGCAATATTATACTAGTCTATTTTCCCAGAAGAAACCATCAATTGTCATTCGTTAAAGATATTCCAACGCGAACGAAAATGCTTATTTTATTAATCTTTTCTTTATAATTACTGACTTAGAAACTTTAATGAATTTTCATTTAAATATTTTAAGAAATCAACATCATGCTCAACAAAAAAAATGTGGATTCGTTTAACGCACAGGGACAGATTTGTAGTCAAAATTATACCGATTTATCATATGACCGCATTACAAAATATTTTACTCGAATTTCGTACTTCAGATATAAGCATCAAATTGTGCTTTCAAAATAATGACTCGACGTGAACAATGTTGTATGGGATTATAAAAATAATAATTATATTAAGCACGTAAAATTGCATTTTGGAAGTTCATGAATAGCTGAAAATATATGTCATTTCATTGTCTCCTAATTGAGCAAGTACTGTATGAATGTGTTATATGATACAAAATGCCCGTTTTTGGCATATATCAATAAATATAAACATATTATGTCTTATTTGTTTTGCCAAACGTAAACAATCAAATAGATTAATGTGAGATGGAAATGATGCGATAACATAAACTTTGTAAATAGTCTTGAAAAGGTAAGCAAAAACAATTTGAAAATGTTCCACATATAATTATAAACAAAATGTAATTTGTTCATTTCTATAGTTTTAGTGTAATTATTATGCGATTGAATTTCTTAATTGTTTATACAAATGCAGATCCAACAGCGAAAGGCATTCTGAAGCACATGAAATTCACTACCACTACTTATTTATATAAGTATAAAAGAACATCAAATAATTAAAAATATATTAAATCCCCACATTTTGTTTCAAATGGCTAAATTTCGAAGCGACGCTTGGGTATTAAAAATTGGTAATACTATTTAAATAAGCTTAATATTTAGCAGATATTGACTAGCTCAAATAGCGCATTATACTTCAAGTCTAGCTTCTGGAAGGATAATTTTTAGTGGCATTGGTGATTTGAGAAATACAAATTAAGTCTCAGGAGTGCAGCCTTGAAATTACTCGGCTGCCGAATAATCACTCCAACAAAGCTTTTTCGCTCTAAGCTCTTGTGAAGGTTTAGGAATTGTTATCATTCATATCTAATCATCTTGCGTTAAATGATTTTGTCGTTCCAACAAAACATTTCAACGGCTATCAATCCTATTTAACATTACTGTCAATGATTATTCCTTCCAGAGCGTTATCGTATCGTATTTTTTAATGATCAATTCATTTTAATATTTTTGGAGTCAATTTCAACAATAGTTTATATGATTCTCTTTTCCAAACGTATTTGGAATAGTTCCTTTCAATAAAAAATGATTTTAGATCATCAAAACGCTCCAATTTTCACCATTTTGCCGTGGGAATTTAAATATAATCCCGTTTTTCCTTAACGAGTGCAAATTGGATTGATAGTCATTGAAATGTTTTTTTGGATGGGCATTATCATTCGATACAAGTTGGGCAGATATCAAAATCACGCAAAAATTCCTAAACATTAACAATGGCTTAGGGTGAAAACATTTTATTGGGTGTTTTTTCGCCAGCTGATTAATTTCAAGACTGCACTTCTGAGACTGAATTGGAACTAAAAAAATACGCGCCTTAGGAAATCATAATTTGTGCAATTCTTTCAAGCCCAAACAGGATTTTAGACTTTAAGTCAACATTTTCGAGCACAATCCGTTGTTGGTGTACATTTGCCCGAGTTCTCTGGAGTGGAGCTGGCAATGGTGACAAAATAATAACAACGCTTTATATGTGTTTGAATGTTTGCAAAGGCTGTTTGTTTCTGGAACTTCAATAGGTCTTCATTATATTTTATTCATTGAAAAATAACATTAGAATACCTCTCCTCAAGATTATCATTATTATTTCAAATGGCAGGCTTTATGATATTAGTCACACACCCCTTAGCTGACTTCGAATTCAACAAGAGAAGAGTGTATATATGGCAATTAATCAATGGCAGGTTATTTCTTTTCTAATAGCTTCCCAGTAACCCTTTAGTTCCATCGTAGTCTTTAGGGCTGGACAATGAATCAGATGGGTCTTCCTCATTTCCTCCTGCAGGTTACAAAAGGGGCATGATTGGTGAATGCATACTCATAATCTGTGAAGGAGCAAAATTTTTATACCTTTCTTAATAAGTGCGTCAGCAAAATCATTACGTTTAATGCCGCAGTGCGGGGTGCGCGAAAGACTTATCTCCACATGGTGCACCCTGGACAAAGTATTTTCTTACGGCAAAAAGGTCTATCACTCGGCATTCGTTTTTGACTTCAATTTATTATAATTAGCTTTAAAAAAGGCTATAAGGAAAATCGCCCTCGTCAGGGCGAATCACGACGTCTTCAGATCCTCCAGTGGAATGCTGGATGAATGTCTCCACACAAAAAGATCCAAATACAGAAAATCCTACAAACCTATGATGTAGACATTTTCACAATTATGGAAGCTAACATTTCGGATGACAAACTGAAGTACTACCAATTAGAAGGTTACACTCTGTATAATCTACCTAAATACCGGCAAGTTGCAAGTGGAATTCTAACTGGAGTAAAAGAAGGACTCACCTCACATTACGACCTAATCAAGAGTATGGGCTCGACACAAGACAAATGTGAAATAATCAGATTAAATATTTGGAAATGTCAAAACCAATTCAAGATATATGCAGTCTATAATCCACCACAGAATTTTCCAAGCTTTGACTTTCTGAACATCTCACACAAAACTATAGTTTAGGAGGCTTCAACGCCCACTCCACCAGATGGGGCTACAAGGATACAAACACAGGTGGAAAGGAAATAGAAGATATGCTAAACAGCAACATTCTGGAACCTATTTACAGCAATGAGGATCCGGCTACATATTTACACTACAATGGATCCAGAACAACCCCTGATTTACTCTTGGCTTCAAGCGACATCAGTGAGCATACTCGCCGCAAAATAATTGACGATCCTGGTTCTGGTCACAAACCAGTCATTGCCAGTATTACCATCGGCAGCAAATGCATGCCAAGGAAAGTGCCAACTAAGCTATCATAGAACTTCAAGAAGGCTGACTGGCCTAGATTCACAAACCTTTTAGAGGATGAACTTCATTCAAGTCCCCTCAACTTCAACCAACATCCTGGCAAACTTTGCACTGCTATCACCAATATTATGATCAGATGTGCAAAGAAAACTATTCTCAGACTCAAAACTAAACACTATCGAGTGTTTTGGTCTAAACACCTTGAGGAACTGAAAAGAAGGCAGGACGCCCTTCGCAACATTGCTGATCAGACTGGAAGAACGGAAGACTTAAAAGCCTGGAGACGACAATCAGCTGTCCTATGGCAAGCCATCCTACAAGCAAAACAGACTTCCTTCGGCAAGTTCATCTCAAATATCAACTATCAAAGTGATAGCCAACGCACTTTCAAATTTCTGCGAAATATGCAAAACAAAAGAGAAAGACCGAGTAAGAACCAATACGCTTAAACAGCAAATTGCTTACCACCGACACCGAAATAGCTAACAGCTTTGCGAGGTTCTATTCCCACAAGCCAAAGAAAAACCCTTTTGTCAAAAAATCCNCAGGAAGCACCACAATAGGTTCCCTTATCAAAGAAAAGGCCTTGATCCTGTATGAGAAGCTATTGCGCATTCCCATGGACAAGTTCTTCAGCACCTATGGGAATAGACTAGGACACCTGAAAACGCAATCTGGTCTAATACAGAAAAAAGCGTTACAAATCGATGATAAACCAAAAAGCCTCTCTCTCCCCATGAACCCATTAGCAGACATTGATGTAGTGTGTTGCACCCAACTGCTCGACTTCTTCAGGAAATCAAACACCCCTCCAGAGCAAATGCACTCACTGGCCCTTGAGACAATCAATGTCAACTATCCTGGGGATCAATGGCTCCAAGTCTTCACTGGTGGGTCATATATAGATAGCCAAGCAAACGTTGGTGCAGGTATCTATTCTGAACTCTTCTCTTTCTACGCAGCAGCAGGACATAATAGATCCGCTTTTGAAGAAGAAATAGAGGCTATTAGGATAGCACTATGCCAATTATGTTTCCTGGATACGAAATTCACAAAGCGTTGATACTTTCGGACTCACAGTTAGCAATAGACTCTATTGGAAACAGAGCGACACACAAAACAACTGAGATAAACGAATGTAGAAAACTCTATCAGCTGCTGAGAGAGAAAAACAAAACAGTGGTCCTACAATAGATTCCTCGTCACTGTGGCTTGCTGACACACTTGCCGAGAAGGGGATAACGATTTTGCAATGCATGGATCGGCCGATGTCTTTCCACACAATGAAGGCCTTAATCAGGAGAGAATTCCATACCTCAAGGTTCAACGAACTCAAAGCTCGAACAAAGGAGAAACAGTGGACAGTGGCACTCTCCGACATACCCGACTGGCCAAGAATCGAAGCCGTTGCTGAGTTTAGACTACGTACCGGACACGATTGCGTGGCAAAACACCTTCACAGATTGGAAGTATACACTCAACCCACATGCCTTTCTATGTAACCTACAGGAGGAAATGGAGAAGACCCACCTGATTCGGTGTCCAGCCCTAAAGACAAGGACGGAAAGCCAAAAATACTGGGAAACAAGAAGTCTGCTAATGAACTGCTATTAATTAACTGCTATCAATGTACCCTCTCCCCCTCTTGGGGGAAGCTGAAGTCAATGATTAAGGGCTAATGATAAATATCATAAAGCCTGCCATTTGAAATAAATTAATGACACAGTGCTCGGAAATCCATTGAAGCACCCCGTTTTGTTTTCTTCTCTCTCAGCAACAGATAGAGTTTTTACATTCGTATATCTCAACTGTTGTGGGTGGCTCTCTGATTTCGATTGAGTTAATTGCTGACTGTGAGTTCAAAAGTATTTCCGCTTTGGTGAATTTTGCATTCAGGAAACATAATTAGCTTAGTACAATCCTAATGGCCTTCATTTCTCCTTTAAAAGCGGACCTATTGTGTCCCGCTGCAGATTAGAAATAGACGAGTTCAAGGTAGACACATCCACCAACGGTTACATGGTGTTCTAATTGTGACTCATCAGTGAAGACTTTGAGCCATCGATCTGTAATATAATGGGCATTGATTGAGAGATTAGTGAACCAAATGGTTTTACTAAAGTAGTATCCTTGTACCTTAAAAACGCGTTTATGCTGTGACGGAAAGATTATTAGGAATGCATTTTTCTCGGTGTTGACAACCATTCCGTTTTGGTTGTTTAGGTTGCGATTTGTTCAAGTGCATAATTTAGGGCACCTTCCGTCCTCATAAAGGCAAATACCATAGCGCAAGGTCATCTGCATTAAGTAAGCGCTTTATGTAGGTGACTGTCTGAACCGATTCGACTATGACATTGATGAAGACATTGGAAAGAGTGCAGAGAGCATCCAATGTTTTTCCCCCGTTTATCATGTTATGCTTCATACTAATCTTTGCCAAGTGGCCGCTTGTTTGTTATTCTATCTTTGTGGCCTTAAACCGGTTTGTTTGATGCTAAGAATATATTTGACTTCAAGAATCTAGGTCAGCCTTCTGTTAACCAGTCTTTCCATAAGTTTAGTTAACACGCTGGCAAGGGAGATAGGCTTATATTGGGTTGGCAACTAAGGCATTGCCGTTTTTGTTGACAGATTTACTCTATACTTTCTATTTCCAATATTTTTTTCTTATTATATGGACTTCTTGGTTAATTAGTAAAAATTTTTTTGTTTAGTTCTTTAGTTTTGTTTTTATTCCAATTTAAAAATGAAAGAACAGGACGTGCACTTCCGACACATTTTATTGTATTACTTCCGAAAAGGCAAGAACGCATCGCAAGCACAAAAGAAGTTATGTGCCGTATATGGAGATGAAGCCTTAAAAGAAAGGCAGTGTCCAAATTGGTTTGAAAGATTTCGTTCCGGTGATTTTTCACTGAAAAATTCACAACGATCTGGCCGCCCAGTCGAAGTAGATGAAACCAATATCAAGGCCATTATCGATTCAAATCGTCACAGCACAACACGAGATATTACAGAGAAGCTCAATGTGTCGCATACATGCATTGAAAAAAAATTAAAAACCCTTGGTTATGTCAAGAAACTTGATTTATGGATCCCTCACCAATTAATGGAAATTCATTTGACGCAACTGAAACGCAATGAGAATGATCCATTTCTGAAGAACCTAGTTACTGGCGACGAAAAGTGGATAGTTTATAACAATGTTACTCGCAAGAGATCATGGGTGAAGCAAGATCGACCAGCCCTAACAGTATCAAAAGCAGAGATTCACCAAAGAAGATTATGCTGTCAGTCTGGTGGGATCACAAAGGAATTTTGTATTTTGAACTCATGCCGCAGAACCAAACGATAAATTCAAATATGTATGTTGAAGAACTCGAAAAACTGAAGGATGCAATTGAAGATAAGCGGCCGGCATTATCAAATCGGAAGGGTGTTGTTTTCCATCATGATAACGCAAGGCCCCACACATCTGTGGTTACTCGGCAAAAATTATTGGAACTGGGTTGGGATGTTTTGTCACCCCTACCATATAGCCCTGACCTTGCGCCTTCGGATTACCAATTGTTTCGTTCCATGCGAAACGCTTTAAATGGTAAAATTTGTAACAACACGGATGATGTCGGATCACACCTAATTCAGTTTTTTAATAGCAAAGACCATACATTTTACGAACGGGGAATTTTTACTCTGCCAGAAAGATGGAAAAAGGTCATTGACAAGAACGGGCAATATCTAATTGAATAAAGTTATATTTTTAAACAAAAATTCCGAATTTGCCTTCTTATTTGAAATCGGCAATGACTTAGTTGCCAACCTAATATTTTTCAAGGTTCTAGGGTCTTTGCACTTTTAGTACTGGTAGAAATATGAAAACTTTCCATTGATTAAGAAGGAGACTGGTGTCTCAGATTTTTTGAAAGCGTCGGGATGGTTTCTTTGGCTTTTGATCCTATCCGTTTTAGAAATTCCGGATAAATACCGTCTTCGTCAGGAGACATTTTGCACTTTTCATCACAACATGAAGTTTAAAAGTTCATAATGGTTCAGTAAATACATTATTTTGTAATGTAGTGTCTTACCTAATTTCACAAAACTGCCTTACTCGTGTCTTTAAATCTCTTGAAGATTTTCTGCCAAAATGGTAGTTCTTTTGTCTGTGGGATTAGAACCTCGCAAAGCAGTTAGCTATTTCGGTGTCGGTGGTAAGCAGTTTGATCTTTGTTTGCGTCTTTCTCTGTTGTTTTGGAGGTTACCCAGGAATTTGAAAGTGCGTTGGCTATCACTTTGATAGTTGATATTTCAGATGGTTTTGTCGAAGGAAGTCCGTTTAGCTTGTAGGATGGCTTGACTAAGGACAGCTAACAGTCGTCTCCATGCTTGTTCGTCTTTCTTTTCTCCAGTCTGATAAGCATTGTTGTGAAGAGCGTCCTGCTTTAATTTAAGTTCCTCAGGGTGTTCAGACCAAAACACACGGCAGTGTTTATTCATGGCACGGGGAATTGTTTTTGTACTCGTCTCATTATAATATTCGTGATATCTTAGCGAAATTTTTTCAGGGTGTTAGTGTTGAGAGACCATCTTTTACTCCATTCACCTGTAGAAGGTTTAAGGTGTAATCTGGCTAATGGCAGTGTTTGTGTTTTTCTTCTGTAAGTTCCGCTTCCATGATTGTGAACATGTCTATATCTCAGATATGTAGGATATTTTAGATTTGGATCTTCATGTCCTGTGATATCCCTCCAGCATTCCCTTGAAGGATATGTAGAAGGTGAGATTGGCCTAACAAGGGCGGTTTCTCTTAGTGCTTTGTTTCAAACAAATCATTTAGCCTTTGAAACGGATTACTTGAATCTGGATTAGAAATTGTTTTTTGTCCATAGTTCATTTATGTTGATGCGCACACTATATAACGGAAGACTCCGTACCAGTGTACAGTCTTCATTATTCGCCATTGAAAAAAGAGGGGGGCAAGATACTTATGTAAAACTGTTTGAAAAATTTAATGAATTTCCCTTAAGTAACTAAGAAGCAATTTTGCACGCACATGCTTAGCTTTCATGTACGAGGTTGCCTTATATATTCTTTAAATTAATCTTGTTTAAACAACACTTTCCCTATTTTAATTAAGCGCGATTTTCCTACGCATCGAGAATATGGCTTTTCGTGAAACTAAACCATAAACGGACGGCTGATATTTATGCATAAATTTAAGGCGACCAGTAGTAAGGGAAAAATGATTTTCTAATTTCATTTTGTTCTACATGATCTCATTTTATCTCGATCTAGCCTCACCTTTGCATTATTTTGTGAGCCCTGATAACTAAACATTACTTTTGAAGAAAAGTAAGCATTTCAATGCTTGAAACTTATCGCAAGTTAATAATTGCAAAATAGATAAATAAATTAGGAGGCACTCATAATTATCAAATCATCACTTCTTTGCTAATGTATATTCGGAAATAAATCTAAAATACTAATATTAGCCTAATGACTGGGATAATTCAAGAAAATTACAATTCTCATTCACTTTGTAAATTCTTCTCAAATTACTACAACGCGTGAGTGATCTTTGCTGACCGTACCGGAAATATTGAGAAATAATACTTGGTAGAAGCAAGGAGAACGATGAATTTTGCGTTTAGTAAAAGTTTAAAATTCTAATATATTTTAAATTCAGATTTCAAGAGTGCGTGTATGCGATGACGTGTCTCACAATGTGATGATGATACACGAGTCATGTGAATATTTGACATTTATTTTTGGTTTCTTTTTGACATTTTTATCTTTGAAATTCCGAATGGTATAAAGGGAGGCCTCACATCGCATTACAATCTAATCAAGAGTATGGGTACGACGCATGACATATGCGAAATAATTAGATTAAATGTTTGGAAATGTCAAACCACTTCAAGATATATGCACTTTATAATCCAAGCCAGAATAGTCCCAACTTTAACTTTCGATAAGTAAATCCCCTTGCTTACAATAAGCATGCTCGACATTGTCCACGTTTTACACTGAATTTTAATTTCAGGCGATAGAGCACTCTGACTGACTAAAATGTGCTGTGATATAACATTGCAACTCATAATATTGGGACCTCCTAATTTAATTTTATTCTACTAAAATTATAATGCAATATTGCCAGTTGATATTTTTGAACTGTCATTCAAGTTTCCTGGGAAGGCTTCAAAATACACATATTTCATTACCAGGATGAAGTGGTATGTAGCGATGGGCAGTGTAATTTTATTAAATTAGGGAGTGCTTTATTTTAACCTTTCTTTGTAAGTAAATGTCTTCTATTTAATTAAGATTACTTGTTTTGTCTCTTTGAAAATGATCATAGATATCTGAATATAACAAAAATTGATTAAAAATGGGAAAACCATTTCACTTATAAATGATAAATTAAATCACTTTGTTGTTTTTAAGAATTTTGAAATTTCTTCATCACTTAACAGCACAAAGTCTCATCGACCAAAAATAAGATATCGATCGGAAGGGAAAGTGAAAAGTGATACAGAAAAAGATCTGGAAAAGGTGACGCATTCAAGAGCGGTTCTTTGACCAGGATCATGTTTTCACTGTAAAAACAACCCATCGAAGGGCAACCAAATTTTAACAAATGGCAATTCAAATGTGTCGTGAAATCTAAATAATCTCTCTACGTAGCGTAAGAAGATTTGATTAGGGCACAAAAAAGCATTAAGTCAAAAATATTCTAAAATCCCACAAATGTTGTGGCCAGAGATCCTATAGACAGTTTATTATTAGATTATTTAGCAACTGCACTCAGGAAAATTATAAGAAGTGATATTCCCGAAGACCGCTAATCACTTTTAAATCGTGTTCACAAAATGTTAACTTGAAATATAATATCATATTTGGTCTTGTAACGATTGCAAAAATAATGATTTCATATTATGTCCATAATTGTATTTCAAAAGTCCATATCGTTAAAAATTGCACTTTTTTTAGGTCATAAAATCGTGAACTTGCTCTTGTTTCACTTATCCATAATCAATTCTACTTAATTAAGCAAGTAGAGTCGGAGGGATTTTATGCTGCAAGTTGTTACCCAAATCAATACAAAAATATAGCATTTACATAAATAAAATTTTCCCAATCACCTAGGCAATTAAATTACATGAAATAGAAATGATGCGGAGGCATTGAATTCTTTAGCTGCAGAGCAGTGCGCTATTTAACATATCTTGTCAATTTGGTAAGCAAATCAGAATTATTTTGTATGCTGGCAATTTCAAAACATGCTGCTGCATATCAATATATATGTGAAACTACAATGGCGACAGTTAAAGAACTCCAATAAAATATTTCATTGATCGAGTTCATAATTAGCAGATGATTGAATAAGGTGCATCTCTAAGTTAGGTTTCACATTAT